TCTGTCACCCAGACTGGAGTGCAGTGGCCACTCTTGGCCACCACAGCCTCAACCTGCTGGATTCCGACGATCCTTTCGCCTCAGCCTTCCAAGTAGCTGGAACTACAGGCGCACACTACCACACCTAGCTAATTTTTAAAAATTTATTTTATTTATTGTAGAGATTTATTTATTTTATTTAAAGTAGAGATCCACTCACCTCAGCCTCCCAAGGCACGGGATTACAGCCTGAGCCACCGAGCCCGGCTAAAAGAATTCTTATTAGTTAGTGTTGTAAAAGTGAAATGATATTTTAGAGTTTAAGTATTTCAACCAAAAGAAAATGATGCAATAGGGGCTTAGATGGAACAGGTTTAGGAAAATGTTGGTTATTTTTTTAATTGGGTGCTGGGTACTTGTGATTTAACTATACTGTTCTGTCTACTTTTGTGTATGTTTGAGAATATCCACAATAATTTTTTTGTTTGTTTGTTTTTGAGTCGAGGTCTCACTCTGTTGCCCAGGATGGAGTGCAGTGGCATGTTCATGATGATCATGGGTTACAGCAGCCTCGACCTCCTGAGTTCAGGCAATCCTTCTGTCTCAGCATCCTGAGTAGCTGGGGGACAACAGGTGTACATCACCACGCCTGGCTAAGTTTTTGAGTTTTTGTAGAGGTGAGGTTTCACTATGTTGCCAGGCTGGTTGGTCTCGAATTCCTGGGCTCAAGCAGTCTGCCCTTTTGGCCTTCCAAAGTGCTGGGATTATAGTTGGGAGCCACCACACTTGGGCCAAAATAAGTTTTAAAAATAAATTTACTGGTCGGGCTTGGTGGCTCATGCCTATAATCCCAGCACTTTGGGAGGCCGAGGTGAGAGGATTGCCTGAGACCATGGGTTCGAGACCAGCCTGGGTGACTTAGTGAGACCTCATCTCTACAATAAAGACCTCATCTCTACAATAAAGAAAGCAAATAAGCCAGGCATGGTGGTAGTTCCAGTCACTTGGAAGGCTAAGGCAGAATGATTACCTGAACCCAACAGGTCGAGGCTGCAGTAGCCGTGAGCATGCCACCACACTCCAGCCTGGGTGACAAATTGAGACTCCAACTCAAAAAATAAATAAACTTATGCTACTTGGGGAAACTGTCATCCTTTTTGCAAGAATACTACCAATTAGAAAGGGAAATCTATAGTAAATCAGGTTCTCTCTCCTTCTAGCTTCTCATACCTGACTATGTCTTCTTTTGTATATTACCTATCCTATCATTTCTGGAAATGACTTTGCAGAGGAACCACCAAGTGTCTCAGCAGAGCAAGAAGTTACATGTATCAGTGGAGGCGAGATATTCCCCAAACAGGTAATATGAACATCCTTTTAAACAAGAGGTTTGGGTTTTTATTTTAAAGGGGCTGTAGGTTAAATCAGGAAGCCTGTAGGCTATGTAGACAAGAGGTCTGGATGACTCTAACCCAGTTACAAATAATGATTTGTGTGTCTACTTCCACTTAGATTTAAAAAGGGAGAAGGAGGGATATTGAGGAAAACCTGTCCTGCCTACCCAACAAGGTTAAGTATCAATTGAAAAAGAAGGTATGGTGGCTCATGCCTATAATCCCAGCCCTTTGGGAGGCCAAGGTGAGAGGATGGTCTGAGCCCACAGGTTCAATGACCAGCCTGTACAACATGGCAAGACCTCATCTCTACAATAAATCAAAAAATTAGCTGGGCTCGGTGGCTTAGCCTGTAATCCTGCACTTTGGGAGGCTGAGGTGAGTGGATTGCTTGAGCCCACAGGTTCAAGACCCACCTGGGCAACTTGGCGAGACCTCATCTCTACAATTAAAAAAAAAAAAAAAAATTAGCCAGGTGTGATGGCCCGTGCCTTTAGTTCCAGCTACTTGGAAGGCTGAGGGGACGGATCGCCTGAGCCCAGCAAATTGAGGCTATGATGGCCATGAGTGTGCCACTGTTCTCCAGCTTGGGTGACAGAGTGAGACTCCAACTCAAAAAAAAAAAGATATGAATGTACTTTATAAACCATCACGCAGAGTATGATTACTATGTAATAATCGATTTTTTTTTTTTTTTTTTTGAGTTGAAGTCTCACTCTGTCACCCAGGTTGGAGTACAGTGGCTTGCTCTTGACCACCGCAGCTTCGACCTACTGGGCTCAGGCATTCCTTCTGCCTCAGCCTTCCAGTTAACTGGAACTACCGTCATGCGCCACAGGATATATTTCTAGCAGAGAGATTACTTTGCCAAAAGAAAGATATACGAGAGGGACACCAAAAAAAATGGGAATTATCTTTTTGAGGGTAGTCCCCTTGTAGTATAGGCTTCTCCCAAGGTCCTAACAGTCAACCAAAGTTTTTGTCTGGAAGTTTTGAGAAAGTTGTGTCATGATTTGCAGAAGAAACATTGCAAGGTGTGGCAAATAGGTGACTGAATTTTCCACCATGATAATACACCTGCCCACACCATGCTGAATGTTCAGCAGGTTTTGACCAGAAAGGGCATGACTCCTGCGTCCGTCCCCCCCCATTTACCCAATCTTGTCCCCAAGCAACTTGTTTCCCTGGTTTAAAAAAAAAAAAAGTCCTTGGGCCGGGCATGGTGGCTCACATCTGTAATCCCAGCACTTTGGGAGGCTGAGGTGAGAGAATTGCCTGAACCCTGAGTTCGAGACCAGCCTGGGCACCTTGGTGAGAGCTCATCTCTATAATAAATCAAAAAATTAGCCGGATGTGGTGGCGATGCCTGTTGTTCCAACTACTTGGAAAGCTGAGGTGGAAGGATTACCTGAGCCCAGCAGGTTGAGGTCGCAATAACCATGAGCACGCCACTGCACTCCAGCCTGGGCAATAGAGTGAGACTCCAACTTAAAAAAAAAAATCCTCTAAGGACAACGTTTTGCTGATGTGAAAGAGGTGAAAAACAGCAGAAACACTGAAAGCCATCTAAACTGATGAGTTCAAAAACTATTTTGAGCTATGGAAAAAGCATCTAAGCCGGGCTCGGTGGCTCAGCCTGTAATCCCAGCACTTTGGGAGGCTTGAGGTGAGTGGATTGCCTGAGCCTGCGGGTTCCAGACCCACCTGGGCAACTTGGCGAGACCTCATCTCTACAATAAAAATCAAAAATTAGCCGGGCGTGGTAGCGCATACCTGTAGTTCCAGCTACTTGGAAGGCTGAGGTGGAAGGATCGCTGGAGCCCAGCAGGTTGAGGCTGTGGTGGCCGGGAGCAACCACTGCACTCCAGTCTGGATGACAGAGTGAGACTCCGACTCAAAAAAGAAAAGCATTCTTAACATTCTCAATTTCTCAGCTGTATAGTCTTTGTAGTAAAAAACAGAAAGAAAAAGCATCTGGATAGGTATGTTTCATCAAACAGAGTTCTTTGAAGATAACTGAAGTTTAAACATGTAAGAATAAATGCACAGCTGGGCTCAGTGGCTCAGCCTGTAATCCCGCGCTTTGGGAGGCTGAGGTGAGTGGATTGCCTGGGCAACTTGCTGAAACCTCATCTCTACAGTAAATCAAAAAAATTAGCCAGGCGTGGTAGCGCGCGCCTGTAGTTCCAGCTACTTGGAAGACTAAGGTGGAAGAATCACCGGAGCCTAGCAGGTTGAGGCTGCGGTGGCTGGGAGCGTGCCACTGCACTCCTGTCTGGGCGACAGAGTGAGACTCCAACTCAAAAAAAAAAAGAAGAAATGCACAATTTTTTGTAACTAAATTACAGTTTTGGGGGGATCCCTCATATGTGTTTTAATTTTGATAGATTATACCAATTACCCTCCAGAAATTTGTGCTACTTTATACTTTTGGCTACAATGTGTAAGCATGTTCTTTTCTCCTTTACCCTCAATAATGCTTGATGTTATCAGACATCAGATTATACCAATTTGATAAATGAAAAATTATCTCTTTAATTTGCATTTCTTTAATTATAATTATAATACTTATTGACCATTGTATTTTTTTTGTATGCTGACATTTGTATTCCTGTTTTGTTTTTTCCCAATTAACATGAGCTAAATATTTTATAGCTACCTGAGTTGATAATGAACCTTTTTTTTGTTTTTTGGGTTTTTTTTTTGTTTTGTTTTTGTTTTATTTATTATAGAGATGTAGAGTACAATTAAGGGTTAGGTATATAAACACTGATCATGCAAGTACCCTTGTTGATGAGGTATGCCCCCCCCCCAGCAGTTTCCCTCAACTGCCAATCCTACCCCTACTCCCCTGACAGTTTTCCACTACTGCCAGTTGCTTTCTTATAACATTATAATTGTTCAGGGTCAGCTTATGAGTGAGAACATATGGAACTCAATTATTTGTTTCTGTGATAAATCACTGAATATTTTTTTTATGGTGACATTTGTATTCCTGTTTTGTTTTTTTCCCAATTCACATGAGCTAAATATTTTATAGCTACCTGAGTTGATAATGAACCTTTTTTTGGGGTTTTTTGTTTGTTTGTTTGTTTGTTTTGAGTCAGGATCTCACTCTGTCACCCAGACTGGCATGCAGTGGCATTATCATGGCTCACCACAGCCTCTAATTCCTAGGCTCAAGTAGTGCTCCCTCCTCAATCTCCCACATAGCTGGGATGACAGGCCCATGCCCCCATACCCAGCTAGTCTTGAACTCCTGGATCAACCAGTCCTTGTGCTTCAGCCTCCAAAAGTGCTGGGATTATAGGTGGGAGCCACCACACCCATCCATAAGCCTAATTTTGAATGTATAATGATCTACTATTCCTTGTTGTTGATTATCTTGGTAGTTACTAGGATATCTTAATTTTTGTTTGTGAGTCAGGGTCTCACTCTCACCCAGGCTGGAGTGCAGTGGCACAATCACAGCTCACCACAGCCTTCAAACTCCTGGGCTCAGTGATCCTCCCAATTCAGCCTTCCCAGAAACTGAGGCTACAGGTGCATGTCACCACACCTGGCTAATTTTTTTAAATGGGTAATTTATTGTAGTGACAAGGTCTCACCAAGTTGCCCAGGCTGGTCTCGAACCCATGAGCTCAGGCAGTCCACTCACCTCGGCCTCCCAAAGTGATGGGATACAGGCTGAGCCACTGAGCCCGACCTGTTTACTGTTTTATATCTTTGTATAAATAACTTCTTTTCTTCATTCAAATGAAGAAAAAAATCCAAAAATTTCCTAAGATCAAGGAACAGTATTGTTTTCATAGCTTATGTTTACATTACCAGATTACATTCTAGAAAGGATAACAAGTGGTTCAGGTGTTGCAGTTTTTCTTTTTTTTTTTTGGACTTGGAGTCTCACTCTGTCGCCCAGACTGGAGTGCAGAGGCCGCTCCCGGCTACCACAGCCTCGACCTGCTGGGCTCCAGCGATCCTTCTGCCTCAGCCTTCCGAGTAGCTGGAATTACAGGCGCGCGCTACCACGCCCGGCTGATTTTTGGATTTATTGTAGAGATGAGGTCTCGCTGCCCGGGCATGTCTCGAACCCGTGGGCTCAGGCAATCCACTCACGTCAGCCCCCCAAAGGCGTGGGATTATAGGCTGAGCCACCGAGCCCAGCTTGTTGCAGTTTTTCTATAGTCCTTTTCATTAGGTTTGTATCATTTTTGTGCACTTTTGTTAATTTGATAGAGTTGAACCTCCTCTTCAAGATTGATTTTAATGTGCTCTAAATTGAGTGTATTTCGGTTTCTATCCTGCAGTCTCCCCAGAAGTCTAGTCCTCTTCTACCTTCTGCGTCTGTCGATGATGAAGAAGGAGACACTTGTACAATATGTATGGAACAGTGGACCAATGCTGGTGAACACCGTCTCTCAGCATTACGCTGTGGGCACCTCTTTGGCTATGGGTGCATTTCTAAGTGGCTCAAAGGACAAACACGAAAATGTCCTCAGGTAAGAATCATAAGTTAAAAAAGAAAGAAAGAAAAGGCCAGGTGCAGTGGGTTACGCCTGTGATCCCACCACTTTGGGAGGCCAAGGCAAGAGGATTGCCTGAGTCTAAGAGTTTGAGGCCAGCCTGGGCAACATAATGGGACCTCATCTTTAAAAAAAAAAAAGGTAAAGAGGCCAAACGTGGTGGCTCAAGCCTGTAATCCCAGCACTTTGGGAGGCTGAGGTGAGAGGATTGCCTGAGCTCACAGATTCGAGAACAACTGGGCAGCTTGACGAAACCTGATCTCTACAATAAATCAAAAAATTAGCCAGGAATGGTAGCACGCGCCTGTAGTTCCAGCTACTTGGGAAGGCTGAAGCAGAAGGATCACCCAAGCCCAGCAGGTCTACAGTGGGGTAGCCATGAGCGTACCACTGCACTCCATCCTGGGTGACGGAGTAAGACTCCAACTCAAAAAAAACAAAGAAAGAAAGAAGAACCATAGGTTAAGGTGTGATAACATGTTAATTCAGGAGAATTTCTGGAACCACTAATTGTGTCCTATTGGGTTTTTTAGTGCAACAAGAAAGCCAAGCACAGTGATATTGTTGTCCTTTATGCCCGAACCCTAAGAGCTTTGGACACCAGTGAACGGGAACAGATGAAAAGGTCAGTGGTGACAGTGTGCCTAGCTGGAGTGTTCCTTTTTGGTTCATAGTATGCACATCTGAAAAAGAATTTATGAATCACTGTTAGTGAGATTTTACTTGACCTATGACTTGGGATCTCTGAGGATTGTGAGCAGTCTGTCTCACACTTATTTATGATTCATGTGTGATCACCTTCTGAAGGAAGTCTGCATGATTTGCACTCCACACAACTTTACAAACAAGGGTCTGGCATATTACTTAATTATTGCCATTTTTGCTTCTCATGTCGCTAAGCCCCCCTACCATGGCTCTCCTCAAAGAAGACTCATGAGCAGAACTTTCCATGTACAGTGCAATGCACAAAATTATCAGGATTTTGTAAGCTCATAAACGATTGCTAATAACATCACTTAAAATATTCCTCAAGAACTCACCATTGAGAGCACCGCAGGGACAAGAGCTCTCTCACACTTTACTGGTTATGGTTAGGAAGTACACAGGCAAAATCATTTTGAGAGACCCTTGGCAATATGTCTCAAAAGTCTTTAAAAGCCTTTAATCTAGTACTAATTCTTTAGGCATTTGTTCTAAAGAAACAATTAGGCCAGGCCCAGTGACTCACATCCATAATCCCAGCACTTTGAGAGGCCAAAGTGAGAGGACTTCCTGAGCCCACGGTTCGAGACCAGCCTGGGCACTTGGCAAGACCTCATCTCTACAATAAATCAGAAAACTAGCTGGGCATGGTGGCGCGCACCTGTATAGTTCCAGCTACTTGGAAGGCTGAGGCAGAAAGATCACCTGAGCCCAGCAGGTCGAGGCTGCGCTGGCCATGAGCGTGCCACTGCGCTCCAGCCTTGGTGTCAGAGTAAGAGTCTGACTCAAAAAATAAAGAGAGAAAGAAAGAAACAAAGGTATGTACAAATATTTACTTGAAACTTCATTTAGCATTGTTAGTAATCCAAACGAGATTAATTGGTTGAGTGAACTCTGTGTGGTATTTCCAGATGATGTAATAATATACCTTCACTAAAACTGATGTTGAAGTGCAGATATGTCATCGTATGAAAGCACGTTATTTGTGTGGTTCATTTTTGTGAACTAGAAAAAGAAAATACTACAGGTAGTCATTGTACAGATTATTTAATGTCCTTCCTTATTTATTTTTACTCATTTGCTCCAATGAGTATTTGTAGCATTTTTAAATGGCATGTTTGTAGAGAGGAGAATTTTGTTGAAAAGACAGAGTCTATAAATGTGGCTGTAATGGGTGATAATATTTATTTATTTATTTATTTTTTAATTTATTTATTTTTTTTGAGTTGAAGTCTCACTCTGTCGCCCAGACTGGAGTGCAGTGGCCGCTCCCGGCCACCACAGCCTCGACCTGCTGGGCTCCGGCGATCCTTCCACCTCAGTCTTCCAAGTAGCCGGAACTACAGGCGCGTGCTACCACGCCCGGGTGATTTTTTGATTTATTGTAGAGATGAGGTCTCGCTGCCCAGGCGGGTCTCGAACCCGCGGGCTCAGGCAATCCACTCATCTCAACCTCCCAAAGGCGTGGGATTACAGGCTGAGCCACTGAGCCCGGCTTGATAATATTTAAAAAATAATTCATTGATTACTGTAATTTCAAAATGCCAGTAAATAGAGGTTAAGGGAATGAACAGCCTTGAACCCAAGTTTATAAAATCTTAACATTTTGCCATATTTGCTTTGGGTCTTATTAGAAAGAAAGAAATCATTAGTGCTACAGTAGAAACTTTCTTGTGAACTAAGTTCTCCTTGATTCCATCTTTTTCTCTAGAAGTAACTACTTTCATGAATTGTGTTCATCATTCCCAGGACTGATTAGGTATTTAACTATGTATGTGTCTATAAATAATATATAGTATGATTCAGAAAGTTTTTATACTTTATGTAAATGTCATATCAGATTATAATTTTCTTGCTGTAGCTCGATTTGTTGCTTAAAATTATGTTTTGGATCCGGGCTCGGTGGCTCAACCTGTAATCCCGTGCCTTTGGGAGGCTGAGGTGAGTGGATTGCCTGAGCCCGC